ATCATCTTCACAAATCTCCTGGAATTGGTTTCTACAAAGTTGGTCCACTAAAACAAAAAACCTCATTCAATTCAGAAGAAAATTTCATAGATTTTAAAACATTAAAAGTTACCTCCTGATCATTTACCCCCATAGTCAACTCCCCCTTATGCACATCAATCATTGCTCTACAGGTGGCTTAGAAGGTCTGTCTAAGATGATTGATACCTCCTTATCCTCCTTCAAATCCAAGACAATGAAATCAACAGGGAAAAAAAACTTATCCACCTTAACTAAGACATCTTCTATAACCTCCCTAGGATAGGTAAGAGATTGGTCAACAAACTGAATGGTTACAATAATAGGCTAGACTTCTCATAATCCTAACCTCTTAAAGATCGATAATGCATGAGGTTAATACTGACACCTAAGTCACTTAAGGCCTTCCCAAAGAATTTCTTTCCAATAGCACAGAGAACGGTGAAACTACCAGGGTCCTTAAGTTTTCGAGAGAGCTTTTTATGTATGTTAACACTGCACTCCTTGTTAAGTCTTATAGTCTCGAAATCTCCTAGCTTTCTCTTTTCATTTAGGATATCCTTCATAAACTTCACATAGCTAGACAACTGCTTCAAAGTCTCAGCAAAAGAAATTTTGATTGTCAACTTCTTGAACACTTCTAAAAATCGAGAAAATTGTTGATCCAACTTGTGTTTCTGAATCTTTGACAAAATGATGCAGGCGATCTTTCTAAGTCCATCCTAAGGGGTGAGGCAAGTATTCCTAAGTCTTTAGAAGAATTTTCAATTGATTTTTCAAATTCAGGGTTCTCTTCTACCAACTCAGGCTCTTTCCTACTCACTCCCTCCAACTCTCTTCTACTTCTCAATTTAATGACTTTTACATGTTCATTACTCTTCTTCTTTGGATTAATCTCAGTATCACTTGGAAATGTTCCTTGAGGTCTATTACTAAGGGAATTTGCTATTTGACTCAATTGATTTTCAATGCTTTTAATGACAACACATTGACTCTGCAATTAATTCCCCATTTGCAAAATTACTTCCTCCAAAGACAATTTTTTTTCTAAAACCCTTGCTTTTGGTTAAAGGGTGGTGGGTAAAGAGGTCACGAATTATTACTACCCTGATTATTCCAATTCTCCAATGAATTTTCTTGATTATTCCCCCACTGCTGGTTTCCCATCCCTTGACTATTATTGCTCCAATTAAAACTAGGTTAATTCTTCCACCCGAGATTGTAGATATTAGAATAAGGGTTATTAAAACCTATTGTTAATGACATTCAGGGTCTCAAGAGGCAAAGCACTAGGATCCACCAGTTCTGCATCTGAATTCTCCTCTATTACTGGTGATCATTGTGGCTAATTTATCCTTAACTGATCTAGCTTCCTAGAGATAATCACTACTTGGGAAGTCAAAAATTGAAAGAACATTCGTGTCATAATGCTGACTCTATCAGAAGGCCATTGAATGTTCCTTGTGACCATCTCCTTAATCAAATAATAAGCCTCATCAAAGGGTTTCAAATAAAGGAACCATCTTTGACACCGTCTATGATTGACCTAAGAGATCCTACTAGCCCATTATAGAAAGTCTAAATTATTAATTAGTCCGACAAAGTATTGTAGGGACATTTCCTAAGGAGTTCATTAAACCTTTCCCAACCTTCATAAATTGACTCACCCTCATGTTGACAAAAAGAAGTAATGTCATTCCTTAGTGTGACAGTTTTTTAGGGTGAAAAGTAGTTTGCTAAGGATTTCTGGGTCAGGTCATTTCATGTCCTAATTAATCCAGGAGCTAAGAAATTCAACCAGATTTTTGCTTTATCCCTCAAGGAGAGAAAATTCTCGATCCCACGAAGTTGCTGGAGATATTATTATAGTGAAATGTAGCGCAAAGTTCTACAAAACTCGCTAAATAGATATTAGGGTCTTCCAAAGTTGTCCACCCAAACTGATTGTTCTGCACCATTTGGATGATAACAAACTTTTGTTCGAAGGAATTGACTTCTACGACAGAAGTGCAGATATTAAGAATGATTACGCCTACAGTAGGATTGACATAATCTCTTAAAAGTCGAGACATGTTGTTCTGATTATGGATTTCAGGATTGTTATCGGATATGTCAACAATTTTTGATTTTTTTTAAGAGTTCTCTCTAACTCAGAACCGTAAGGTTCAAGTCCTGAAGGTCCTGAACTACGCATACACCAACTAGGTTCTACTAAAAAGGTACCCCTGTGCTAAAGAGAATAACTGACAATTCAAACAAAAGCAACAAAAGCAAAATAAATTACTAAATCAAGAACAAGTAAACAACAGGTATTATGCGAGAATTAAAAGTAAGAAACAAAGCAAGTGCACAATCAAATAAATTTAAAACAGGATGTTTTTGTATTTTACAGGTTAAGACAGAAAAATAAGGAACAAGAAACAATGAACACTACAGTTTTCAAGTCTAAGAACTAAAGTTCAACTAAAATTTTCCTAAATCAAATTCACCGTCGTTCTCCGACAATGACGCCAAAAATTTGACATGCACACGGTCAGCTTACCCCCAAAGTATATGTGGCATAACAATAATAGCCGGTTTGAGTTCGATTGTCGATCCCACAGGGAACGAGGATAACTCAATGCAAAAAAAATTCTAATATACAATTTTTAATATAAGCCCAAAATTTTGGGGTTTAATTAAAGTCTTACACAATAATCTTAAGTTATCAATAATTCTAAGTTAACAACAAAGAAGTTAAAGGGTTCGAGCGCTTAAAAGTTGTCCTCTAAAGTGGTTCAACTACGATTTTTGAATGTGAAAGTTTCTTACAGATAATCACGGCAACAAATGGAAATAATAATCTTCTTTACCCCCTTCTAGTAGTAAAAAGAAGTTTGGCTACTTAGTAGATTTTCTTCCATAAAGCCTACTACCAACCCTATCAAACTATTTTCCCTATATTTTTGCATCATCCTATAAGATATATTTCTATTCCCATAAGCTAATGTGATCGTCTTAGTTGATTCCATTATTATCTCTACCGAAACTCCTAATTTAGAACAAGTTCTAACAAATCATATGGCAAAAATAAAATGTAAAAGAAGATTGAAAAGTTAATCATAACCGGAAACCAATATGTTCAAAGCCAAACTGAAAATCTCATACCCATCACTTTTACTTCCCCACTCCAAGGGAGACTGAGGGTTACTCACTATGCATGCTTGAACACACAAACAATCTCATTTGAATAAAAAGAGAAACCAAATACAGAAGTCTTGAAATTAAATATTACTATCACAAATGAGCTTCAGTAAAGAGCTCATCTCTCTTCTTGGAAAATTGAGACCAAACGTAAATAAAAGCAATTGCCTCTCGGTTTCTCTTACACCTCACTTCTTCTTCTTCAATTGTTGATCTACTTCTAGCCTTCTCTCCAATTTCTCTCTCAGAAAATGACAAAAGAAAACTAATGAAAAAGCCACACTTAATTCGTGATCAAGCCTTTTATTCATGTCCCCATAAACTCAAGTTTTGAAATATTGTAATTGCTAATTTCAGGTTTGGGCGCTTAGACGCCAAGGTCTCGGTTTGAAAACTAAACATATGGAGCCTAAGAGCCAGTATCGCGGCGCCTATGCAACGTTTACTAATGAACTTTTACACGGCATAGCGCCCTGGGAGCAGCGCCAACTTTTTGACTTCACGGGTTTGTTGCCTAATTTGGGAGGGTTCTGGCGCCTAGGCGCAAGTGGCTAGGTGCCTATGCGCTCAATGGCCAAATATTGCTCCAATCTCCAGTTCGTTCCAGTTCGATTCCCATTCATCTCCTTTCCTGCCACACATACAAAAACAACATAAAACGTTCCTGAAAATGTAATTTTATCATATACAATACAAAAATACAAATAACTTTAATTGCCAAACTATCACCATATTACCCACTAGATCATGATATGAAAAGTCATAACGAGTGTTGGTGAGAGTTCGTTTGGCCAATTACCAACTTTTCTCGCGCCACAATTGACCTTACCGGGGGATTAGTTGGGTTGGTGTTTCTCATAAAAATTAACAAACTATTCATTTATGAATCAACTCTGAAATTACTTTCTTGAATACAAGTTGCTCACCTAATTTACCCTCCTCTCTAGCGTGCGATTAGGGTCAACAATTAGTGCCAACAAAATCAAGTAAAATAGCGTGAACTAACAAGAAACATTCAATTAATGTTATTATAGGTTGACAAACCATAAGCATGCACATATGATGTAGGCAATGAGCACCCTTGCCCTCTGACAGGGGTTTAAAATCATATCAAAAAATGTTCATTAGTTGATCCATAAGGATCTGTAGCCCCACCATTTATAAAGGCTACGCACAAAAATAATGCTTCTGTGAGTTAAATAAGGCTCACTCCCCACATTAAAAATGGGATCATGACCTTACTATAAATGTTAGAACATACTTCAAAAATATCCTAAATCAATTAAAAATACTAGCAAGCAAGTCTGGACTTATGGAATAGGCGTGTCAAAGGATTTGGGCTACCCATTTTAGGTTCTAAACTTTAAAAGCCCTAATTGGCTTTGATAAATAGGTATGAGCGTAAAAGGGTTGGCCCTAGTAGGCTTAATGCATGCAAGGTCATTTAGAACTAAAAATTAACTATGGATTAAAATAAATCTTTGATAAAAACCAATAAATTTTCTCTCAAGTCATCACTAGTAATCTCACCATCAATATAGCTATTGTTGACCAAGTTATTGAAATTTCACTTCCATATCAAACTAGCCTTCTTTTTATTCTGAGAAATAAAAAGCTTCATAGGCTAAACGAACTTAAATAAGTCATACAACATGAGAAGTCTTTCAAAATTTATGGATACTGCAAGCCTGCAATGGAATCTGTTGGGCTTAACTAAATGGGGCCAACTTGATAGCCCTATGTTGCCATAAGTTCAGAGATAAATGTCATTATGATCCATGTAAATGAATAGATTCTACCTGAAATATAGACTTCATAGATAGGAGAGCTGAAGATGCATGATTCATGAATCTGTTAAAGATTTGCATTACTCTGTTACAACCAAGTTCATTCTCCTCCAAGCCCTTTGAAGATAATGGCATGCGAATAAATGTCGAGTCAGATGGCACCGAGCAAAATCCTTGGTTCATAAGCAGTGGGTTAAATTGATCAGGAAATCTATCAGTCAGGTCATTTTCTGCGACATGAAAGATTTACTAGTTAATAATATTTCTGACAACAATATTTTTCATAAAATCAGCAATGAAGAACAAAATGCAAATAGCACAAATAGGTAAGCGTATGAGGCTTCAATAGATATCAACTATAAACATAATATCACTATACTGGTACATGAGTAAAAAAATTTGAAGCATATACACGTTATTAAATATAATTATGTAACTTTTTACCCTTGAAGACAATATTCACAACATAGTTATATTCCATAAAGCAGAAATGCCTCAACTTTCTTAATATAAATATTAAAACTACCACCAAAATAGTATATTTCATCAAATACACAGAAATTCATGTCAATTTAGTGGAAGGTATTTATTACTAATTTTATATAGATCATTAGCTCCCTAAAACATAAATTATGAAATTTAATATATCCATTATATTATAAAACAATCTTAGGTTCCAAATTTACAAATATCTTGACCCATGCAGATGTTAACAACTGATAAGCCACAGTTGTAGAATCTGGTTGGCATCGCACTGAAAGAAGCTTCTTGCACCAGGAAGATAAAAAACAGGGATATCATGCTTCCAAAATAGAAAGCGCAGTGGTTGGAAGGCAGCCACCAATATATAGGTATTGCCAAGGTTACTCATGGCTATTCCGCCACAGCTTCGGCAGCGTTCTAAACAAGGGAGGTACAAATCTTGTAATTAAAGAAGTAAAAGGTTGGTTAAAAATTCAGTAGTTATGGTTTGTAGTGAAAACCACACAAAGTAACCCACACCATGCTCATTGAAATGGGAATCGTTAAAGACTTATTTTAAAACCAAACATAATTTAATGAAAAATATCATAATTTGACAATGAAGCCCCATTATAAGGACAATGAGGTGACTTCATATGACCGAAGAGAATCAAATCAAAAAATTATTCCTGAGTTGAGGGCTGCGGATGTCATATTTTTTGGTATTTTATGAATAATGTATTCAGCTCTTTCCCAAACTAATATATCTGTTTCTAGGATAAAATGAAAGAAAACGAGTCAAAAAGATTGGTTATCAGGCAGAGACCAAAAACAGGAAAAGGAAATGAGCATTGCATCCCTCTTCTCTTTGTCTGCACCTGCGCTACCCAACCTTCTCTATCTCTGCCCATCCACCACCATCCCTTCCCTACTCAACCGCTAGCCACAAAGCCTCGACACCACTGTCCCTCAATTTTCCTCTACTCCTTGTCTACACCACTGTCCACAAAGCAAATATTCTTAAGCTAAAGCAACTGGGGGTACAATCAAGATTCAAACAAAAATGAAAACACAATAGACATCACATTTACAGCATGGAAAAATTATATGTATCGTAAGGGACAAATTAAGTTTGCGCTCATATAGTCTAACAGGTATTCATGTACAATATGCAGAAAATTCTAGATGCAATAATGTCAAACATATAATCACATGGAAATCTACAAATAATTATTTTTTTTAAGTTAACACAAGATAATTTGACCAAAATTAACCCAACAGCCCTACGACGAGTTTCCCACGCTCGCTCGAGCTCGCCACTTAGTATAAGTAATTTTAAATTCATAAACCTCTTAGGACATTCATAAATTCTTCCCTCAGGCCTTAATTTAACCCACACATAAAATAAGCCTCAATATTTATCTCGAATTTGACTTCCCTACAATTAACTTCAAATCTTCTCTTCATCCCCCCTAACCTTCCCTCCTTTTCTTTACATTGTTGATTTCCTGCTAACTAACCATACAAAAGGCCACAAACCAGGTAAGTAATCTCCGACATAAGTTCAACTCTCACTACAACGATCGTAAATGAAAAAGTGCACTGATTCATGGCAAAGTCAAAATGAAAATGAAAATGCAAGAAAGGAAAGAAATGCCTCAATATCATGAAAGAGTTTTGGCTCCATGCTCAACCACTTGCCTCATATGTTCGATCCCGATACAGTACTCGAGTGGAGGACCTCTCTAGGCATGAAGAAACCAAATGTGGAATGGGAAAAAAATTAAAGGAATGTGGCATTTAACTTAATCCCGTTTGATCCACCCCATGGCTGCATATTACATGAACAAGTCGGCGACTATAGTGATGAAGCGTGGTTAGGGAAAATAATTAAGATTAATTAAGGATAACTAAACTGATAAATTTATAATTTTTTATCTTCTCACGCGTTTGAAATTCATGTATAGTGCTATATATCAAATTGATTGATCCTACGTGTAGAATTTTAAAATTGACCCGATCAAATTTTGAAGGATGCAAAATTTGGGTGTGTTTTACAAGTGCCAAAATTTTTACCGATTTCTCAAAATTGGATGTTAAGAAATACAAACACAAGAGCAAGATACAATCAGAGTACTACTCAACTCTTGGATGAAAATAACCACCTCGAAACAAGATACAGTCGCCGCACAACTCGCCATTGGATACAATCCTAAGGGAAAATTTGGAGATGTTGATGGTTGTCCAGACATAGAATTTAAGAAAAACTATGTCTTAAATGATACCAGACTTGATCAAAATTGCCGCAAATTAGAAATAATATCGCAAAATACAGAAAACTACAACAATGGGGTTTTCTGAATAGAAATAACAATGACAACAACAGAAACATACCCTAGGCTGAGGACGAAGGTGGTAAGTGACAGATGGATAACAAGTAGGGTGTAGGTTAAAGTTGTGGTTTCAATAGAGGGTATTCGAAGGGGGCGGGGAGTGGGGTAGTTGGAAGGAAGGTAGGTAGGTGGTGGTAGCAGTAGCAAATGGGATGGAGAAGGGGTTACAACAGCAGGTAGGATTGCAAAGAAACTTAACAACATCAAGCAGGGAAGTAGAAGCGGTTACGTCACAACAAGGCGGAATAGTGGGGTATGCAGTGAAGGTTGGGAGGCAGGGAAGGCTTACAACAGTAGACCGATAGCAGGAAAGCATGTAAGGTTGAAAGCCTGGGTGGGTTGGTCGCCGACAAGTGAGGGGAGGTAGCGAAGGTTTTAGGGGAGGTAATCGTAACCCTGGAGCAGAATACAACTGGAATACCACGTCTCCTCAAAAATAACCAAAAGGAGTGAAAAACGCCGAGGATGAGAAATCTTGACGTGGGGGCTACGGCTAATCCGGACATGCTATTGGATTGGAACTGTCGCCCCTTGTCCTCGCCTAATTATCTTATTATAAATATGTCATTGATTAGGGTTTAAGTTTACTCTTCGATTTCAGCTTTCCAATCGTCAGGTGTTTCCTCCCTTGCCATGGTTGTATCCAAGGAGACGTGGTGCACCGACTATATCCTTCTCAGAGGTGATGGTTATCTATCTCAATCCCACTCCATACACCCCTTCCCAGCACCCTTATCTAGACTATTACAGTGCTCGATACCCTGCCAGCAATCGACCTGATTGCCGCCAAAAACTCCTGGCCCTCTCCTTGTTGCCGCCAACCTTCCCTGTGTATATACCCACAATCACTCGCCTTTTTGCACCCAATCCGCTACTATCAATCTTTCTTGCACCCATCCCTATTGCCACTAACCTCACATACACCCTCCTCCACTACCGCCAACCCTTTCCAACATCTGATTTCTACCACATCCCCCCTGCACTCCACCTACCTGCCGCTGTAGCCTCTCCAACCACTCCCACACTTGTTGTCCAGCCGAGGCTCATAACCTTTGTGCTTGCCCTAGAGTCTCGTTTGTATTCATGTTGTTTTATTTCTAGTTTTAGGAACATTTGCTGTGATTCCTTTTAAATTTAAGAAATCCTCACATGCTCCCCCATAACGGTACCTGAGTGTGTGCATATAAATAGGCATGGCTTCCTGCAGAAGAACGCCCCAGCACACTATCATACATATGAAGCATGCAGTCACACCACAGACACGATGCAAAAGAAAGATACCTGGCTAGGGCAACCAATTCAACAAAGAACAATAGTCAGACATCAAAAAGACTACCTAGCACCCTAAATCATAGTCTAGCAAACCATTTACCGATAAAGTGCATTAACCTATAATCTTAGTGCGGAGTAATTTTGGGTATAGCATGACTTTGACGGGGTCGTCATGCCGGCCTTGCCCTAAAAATTCGAAAGATCTAAAAGGTGTCACGAAGAGGGGTGCCACAAGTTAAATCCATTAGATCCTTAAAATGGTCATACGCGTGTCCAAAAAAAAGTCACTTTATGACAACCCAAGCATGTTTTTTGGGTTATATCATGTTTAGTGCACACATTCAGATGGGTACTACAAAGATCAAAGCCATTGTGAGCTGGATTGCATCGCAATCTTTCACTGAGCTGAAAAAGTTTATGGGACTAGCATCATTTTATAGGAGATTCATCAAGAGCTTCAGTATCATCACCTCTCTTAACAGAGCTTTTGAAAGGAGAGAAATTCTAATGGACAAAAACAAGTCAAAATAGTTTCGACACACTAAAGGAGAAGGTGACTTAGACCCTAGTTTTGACACTACCAGATTTAAATCAGTTGTTATAAATAGAGTTTGATGTTGGGGATAAGAGAAATGTTGAGCCAAGGAGGTCACCCCATAGTCTTTTTCTTGGAGAAGTTGAACGAGTCTATGAAGAAATAAGTGATGTACAACAAGGAGTTCTATGTTATTGTGAGAGCTCTTGAGCACTTGAACTACTACCTACTAATGAGCATGAAGAACATTCTTGTATAACCACATAACTGAAGGGCCTTCATGCCAACTTGGGTGGAATTCTTAGTGCCGTTCCAATTTGTGCTTAAGCACAAGGCGGAGAGTCAGAACTGCTTAGAAAACACACAGAGCTGTCGTCACTTCCTGATCACTGCGATGCTGACTCGAGTCATAGGCTTTCAGGTAGTAAAGGAGCTGAACAAGACAAATAAGAATTTCGGAAAAATCTGGAAGCATTGTCGAGAGAAGCCTACCGGACAGTACTACCACCCTTCCCTACGCCTATACCTACTGCTGCTAGCCTTCCTGTACCAAATCCGTTCTCGCGAACCCTATTGCCACCAACTTTGCCTACACCCTCCTTCACTGCCGCCAACCCCTTCCAACATTTGATTATTGTCGTATCCTGCTTGCCCTCCACCTACTTGCTGCCATAGCCTCTTAAACCACCCTCAAACATGTGTCTAACTGAGGTTCATCACTTTCGTCATCGCCCTCACCCTCACCCCCGCCCTAAGGTCTTGTTTGTATTCTTGCTATTTTATTTCCAGTTTTATGAACCTTTGTTGTGATTTCTTCTAAATTTCAGCAAAAAATATTCATGTTTGATTGTCTTTCAGATTAACTCCGATATCAAATCTGAAATTAGAAAAAGAGAAACCCTAAACAGAAAACATAGAATATATATATTAGTAGCTAGGGGGGTAGGCCACTCCCTATTAGGCGTTAAACTCAGGTAGGGCAAGGGACTGGTTGGCCACTTGCAAACCAAGATTGAAAAGGTTCAACCCTCCCACTGACTCAACCCTATGCGCCCCACGTCACTAAAAAACGACAAGAAAGTATATAACACTAGGGTAACTAAGAAGTGGGCCCACTCCAATAGGGGCAAATCCACGAATAAGGATGATAGGCTAGCCCTCAACAACTCTATTTTGAGCCGGTCCAAGCGTCACACATCTTCCCACATCCAATATAGAGGCAGCGAAGCCACATCCTTTACACCCTATGTCAGTGGATGTGGGATACGCCCGTGCCGAAATATATTTTAATTATCATCCATAATTAATAAGCATAATTTCTCTTTATGATTTGATTAATTACCATAATTCATTTCTAATTATTCTAATTAATAAGCCTAATTTAATGTCAAATTACTATTCAAACTCTAATGAATTAAACTGATTAAAATCTTCATGATTGAACTAGGATTAATAAAAACTTATTATCAAAATCATAACATCAATTCATATTTAGGATAATTAAAATCTGCTCACTTATTCTTCCCACTAGTATGATATCATTATATTTAAAAGTAGTAACCCAGTTCCATTCACTATACCAAAGCAATGCTTGAAATTGGCTTATAAACTGAGATTCAACAGCTCTTAACGAACATGACAAAACAAACCTCTACAAAAAGCATGAATACAATAGGAGGGTGTCAAAAAAATTAGATAGTTCAGAATACGAAGAAGAACATAACATATAATGTGAATTTAAACAAGTAGAGTGTGTTCTGTTTAAAGTATTTAACAATAAATGTATACAAGAATTTAATGACATAATACATTGGTTGATGCCTCGCTTCTTGTGTGTGTGTGCATGATTGCATCATAAATTTCTGAACTTGCTATATTCCTATACTATTTCTATACCCATCTACACGCATCATGCCCGTGTTTCACAAGATTTCAATATAAGCAGACTAATACATTTTTCCCTAAAATTTGTGGCATAATAAACTTCAAATCCAGTACAAATTTTTAGGAATATAACTTTTAAAATCAAAGATTTTAATCATATAAGTACACCAAAAATAATTCTCAATGATTCGTAAAGCGTTACCATGTTGTACCCTTTGATTTGTGGTTAAAGAATATCAATATTCCCCTTACGCCAAAAATGTGCGTTTTGGAACTATCTATCCATATGCTTTATGTGAGATGTTCATAAGCCAACTCCAAGGTTAAAGAGTATAGGTGCAGCGTCACTTCACTAAATAATAATAAACAAGTGTGGCCAATGTGTTCCTAAAATTGACCAAGATAAAGCTAATGAACCAACCTTGCAAGGTGAAAAGCTTTGAGAAGGGACCACCACCAGAGGACGCACTAAGAACTAACCCAAGAGGATCGAAAATAAAGAAGAAGCCACCAGTAGCCATTGTCATTATAGAACAAATGGAGTAACTGCCAACTAATCCCAATCCATAATTCAGAGTGTTTCCACGAAGCTTCCATGGTGGGGGAAGATGAAGGCTGCGTACTTCTTCAATACTCAAAGTTGCTCCTTCAAGCACGACTGTAAGAGCTGAACCTTGAAATTGGCCTAAAAAAAGCAGTAGTAATACTCATAAACTCAATAAATAAAAATATAAATTGCAGCTTTTGCATACAATAATTAACACTGCCATGGACTTAGAATTTAACAAAAATAATCTAAGATCAGCCCAATGCATAAAAATATGGCCTAAAGCAGTACCAATACAAATTTTGAAAAAAAAAAGAAAATAAGAACTTAAAATATACTGTGCCATCCAAATAGCAAAAGAAATATGACAGAAGTATATAAACTATAAAATTTGTAGAAATCAAATAAGATAAAATAGCAACAGCTCCTCATGGATACCTATGTCAGGCAAGCTTAAATCTATTATGTGCACACTCATGTGGGTGAATATACATCATAAAATGAATTTTTACTTGGACTAGAGGGAGAAAATCGCACCTAAGTTTATCATTTGCTCTAATATCAACTATTTGATCAGTTAGGAAAGTGAAGCCCCTTCCATATGAACCTCCTCAATATATAAATGAGAGAGAATACTTGAGGAGTAATTTTCCCAAGTAGATTTAGCTTTATTTTGATGAGATTTCCCTTGATATTTAGGTAAGGCATATTTAGATCGGAGGTTGAGACTATCAAGATCTAGCAAGTAAGCTTTGAACATCAAGATGAGAAGGCACATTTGGACTAAAATTTAAACACTGTAAATTTATATCATGAGTTTTTTGGAAGCTCTTTTTGACACTCTTCAAACATATAATATAAAATCTCAAAAAAGCCAAGCCACTATACATTGAACTTTTTATTTCTAAGCATTTTATAAGATGAAAAACTTTATTTTCTACATCTATAAATTTGTAAAGACAGACTGATGCATATAATTAATACTGTTTCCCACTGTTAATCTCCTGTTATAACAAACTTTCTTTACCCATTTAAATCAAAGAAGATTTCCCTAAAAATGATTATAAATTATTTGGTCAAGCTAAGCAATAACTTAGTGGTTATGTATATCAAGAATAGAAGACAAGATGTATGCAGGCCATGAAAAGTAAATCTTGACGCTCAACACCTAACATCAATAAGAACTATAAGTACAAACATTAGAGCATGATTAAAGAAGGAAAAAAGAATTCACTTGCTCTATGTAACATAAGTTCTAGAAAAAATTTTACTCATGCCAAACTTAAACATTTTTTTATATTATAATATACCCTTCACAGAAGCACTGTCGAACTTTTCAAACTTGTCGCTACACTAGAATAGATAAAAGCTTTACATGCAGGCACAAGTTTCACTAACCAATAACTAAGAAAGGAACTCCATCTTTCAACATACACATGCACACAGACATAATTATTATATCCTTTATATTCATACAATTACAAAAATTATAATGTGTCATGATGTACTCTTTGGAAATAAAATACTTTTTGACTAAAATTCATATCGACATGAAGATTTTGTGCATAAAATACTTTTTGACTAAAATTATATTTTGTGCAAGAAAGAGAGAACAAGAGGGGGAAGTAGGCAAAATATTACTTATGTTTTTTTATCAAATAGTACCTAAGCCTTTTCTTCTAGCTACATTAAGTGTAATATCTTCTTTGTCAAAAAATAAACAAAAACTTGCATTCAAATAATACTATATTTTTTGCACATTTTGAAAATCATTAAAATTTACCGAGCACCATGAACAATCTCCAATTGGATTCTGGAGCTTGGGCTAACAAAAGCAACGATTTCGATCAGCATAGCACCTAAGCTCGCCAGAGTTGGTATTAGGTGAGACAGGAGAGTTCAATTGGATGGGTAGAGGTGGGGGACAACTTGCGATGCGGGTCATCTCCGGCTTACGAAGCAAATGCAAAATCACATCTCCACACGGAGTGCAACAATTGACATGTTTAAACCGTTCAGTCCAAGCATGAGAAGAATCAACCTGTCCTTCCAAGCAGAGTCTTTGCTCCTATTTGGAGTATGATCCACTCCTATTTACCCTAGGCTTATATATTTACATTTTGTGTTTTTGGATTTCAGTTTTGATTGTGTTTCTATTAGGAAAGTTGTTGGCGTCCTCTGTTTTCCCGTCCAGAGCTGTATCCAAAAACGGATGGTGTTTCAGCTAAATCTCGCTCTAAGGTAGTGATTCTTCTCCAAGATTTGAGTGGTGCTCCGAAAGTATCTCGCTCCTAAGGAGGTATTTATCCTTCCCCAACTTCTCTGCATCCCTCTCGCTTTACTACCACGCATCCCTCCTTGCTTCATCCACCACGATAAAAGCCCTTTTGATGTTTCCTCATAGTCTAGCCATCCTCCTCGCTGCTGCTGCATCGGGCAACCCGTATTTTGTTGTCCCCCAGTCCCAGGCATTCCCTGTCGCCACTGCCATCACTCCCACTATTATTGCTACCCGGAATAGCCATTTTGGGTTATTTTGCTGCTGCTCCAACACTCCCAAACCACTTTCCTGCCACCTAGCCTTGACTAAGGCCTACTGCACTACCTCCCTGCCACATATCCGCAATCCAAAACAACCGGAACACCCTCCCTACAGTCAAGCTACTGTTTTAGCCACCCAGAACCACTTGTAATAGCTATGTGTCCACTACCCAGCCTACCTATCCACTTGTTGTCGTCTTAGACAACGAATATCCAATGTTTCCTTATTGTACCGTCCACTTGCTCGACGCCACCACCTTGGCGTCACCTTTCCGGACGCCCAAAACCACCTCCACTGCATATTGGCTTTCAATAATAATATTTATTTGCTTGTTATTGTTATGTTAGCTCCGGTATCATTTATTATCATAGCTAGTTTAACCTTAATCCTATCCCAAGGTTTCTAGCGTCCACTAATACCCAATCCTCACCTCCACACAAAAATCATTCCCCTTGTTTATTTTCAAACCGGCTACCCAGAAATTTTCTTTCCTGCTCTACAACATCCCTATACACCCTCTTTTACCAACCTAAACCAAAATCCCAACCATGTCATCCAAGATAGAAACCTGATCAAGGGAAAAACTACGATAATGAGGTGTCCAAAAGATTTCTAGGTATGCTTAAGGAACATATAAGCCCCCACCTGAGGAGAAATTGATTCAGAATGAAAAACAAGTGAAGCTAACCAACGCTCCAAAATCTATCACAACCAAAAAATGCATCAAGTGTATGCTTGACTTGTGTTCAAAATTGCTCGTGAACATGTCTGTGTTTGATTCAATTTACATATTCTTGTTCGTGTAAGACTCGAAATTGGTTGGTTTAAATTAATTAAAAAAAATAGATGTATGGTGTTGGATTCGAACTTGCACCAAATCTATACAATAAAAAATGTAGAAGCAAATGATCACACAACCTGTTATAATTTAACATTAGATATAAATATATATAATATATTATTATAAAAATAATAAATATAATTTATTTATTTCGAGCTAAAACGAGCTGAACAGGATCAAACAAAGGGTTCTTCGTGTTCGGTTGATTTTCTTAACAAACGATTCAAACACGAGCTACTTAACAAGTCGAACATGAGTTTTTCGCGGCAAATTAGTTTTTTTGATAGCCCTAGTCAAGTGCTACAATTTTGAGCACAATGCAGCAGACTGCCCAAACAATGGTACAACCTATTTCACTGTACAGGGAGTTATTGAGGAAATGGGTAGCAACATAGCAGACACTGAAGAAAGTGATGACATAAAAATATTAGATTCCAACTGATGAATGAGAAAAACGTGTAGCTCAAGCTGAGCCCATGAAAGAGGCTCCAACAAAATTAACATTAGAGATCCAACATTTTCTAATTCTGAGGAATCAACGCCAGACACATGGTAACCCCAGTTAAGGGAATATATGTTTTTTAGACATATAGTCTACTTCATGAGTCACTCCTACTAAGGGAGGTCCAACATGTTAGAGATGACATTCCTTTGTGCTTCTCCTGAAGGATTATATGAAGTCCTTTGAGTATTAAAATCAGTTCAACAATGTACCCACCGATAGATGATCAAACAGAATGAATGATTCGCAATGTGAAAATCGCCTTAGGATCTTTGCAACAAGTAACATCTTTCAGTGAGATCTAGGTCCTTTCAGAGAAGAGGAGATGCCTCTCTTGAATAATTACACTTAAGTATGGCCCAACCTACTATAGATATCATTCCTGAGTTAATTCCTTCCAACAGACTTATTTATCGGATACATCCAATCAAATATGATCAGTGGGAAAAGCAAATGATAGATTTACTTGCTAGGAATTTTGCTTGTGAGAATCAATATCATTACGAAGCTCCGCTCAAATTATGTCGAAAGTGAATGAATACTTATTCTATCAGGATATTTTTTGGAATGACAATGCCTACAAGATTGACATACCGGAAGCTTGCAACATTTCTGCAACCTTCAACAGGGCCGACCTAACTAGTATGAAGAAATAAAAACATTGAAAAATGAGATCAAAGCTCCTCCAACCTTATGAGATTGACACCGAGCATCTCCGACTTACAAATCGGATGCGAGATTGCATCTCTGCATGGGGCACGACAATTGTCATGTATGGACTATTCAGTCCAAGCATAGGAAGGACCAACCAGTACTTCCATGCAGAAACTTCCCTCTTATTTAGAGTGTGATCCACTACTATTTACCTTAGGCTTATATATTTATTTTTCATGCTTAGGTTTTCAATTTTGATTTTGTTTATGTCAGGAGAGCCGTCGAAGTCCCTTGTTTTACCATATAAGGTTATATCTAAAGGAAAGTGGAGTTCCGGCTATATCTCGTTTCGAGGTGGCAATTCTCCCATAAGGGTCGAGTGGTGCACCAGTTGTATCTCTCTCTCAAGGTGGTATTTATCCTTCTCTAACTCCTTTGCATCCCTCCCGCATCGCTACCACACATCCTTCCTTGCTGCAGCCGCCCGAACAATAATTCTTTTGTTGTTCTTCCTGTAGTTCCTCACTGTCCGACCATCCTCCTTGTTGATGCAACATTGGGACTGCCCTCATTTTGTTGTCCTGCATCCATATGCATTC